CAAATCTTAGAATTCCCCCACCAGCAAGGGGAATTCTGGGAGTTGAAGTCCACTCATCTTAAAGTGGCCAAGTTTGGACAACACTGCTCTACTGCCATACCATGTCAAACCACTTCCATATTATTGTCAAAAAATAAGTACATTGCACATTGTAGAAATAAATTGGAACAAATGAAAGCCCTCCATCATTATCTTTAGACAAGGAAGTCATATACAAGGAAACAACTACTATAAACATGTAGCTTATAATGGTTTAGAGTTGTTAAACTGTGGCAAGGTACTAACCTAATAAATAAGCAAATAAATAAATTCAGTAAGCATGTCAAGAGGGTTTCAAAATGGGGAAATGACAATTCAGTGTTTTTAAAATGATCTCAGCTTTTGAATGACTATTTAGAGAATATGTATGTGGCACAATGTAACACTTTGTTATATAAGTTACCAACATACATGTAGCCAGTGAAATAAATGCACTGTGCTCTGCTTGTTTTTAAAGCTATAAATACTATAATCTTTTTAACCCTATCATCTGTCTTGCAGGACAGGTCCCATGATATCATGGCTAATAAATTTTTTCTCTTTATTGGTTAGCCTTCTCTATTTATTGGGCATGAAATAATTATTCCACAGCATGTAACATGAAGTCACCAGGAATCAAGCTTGATTCAAAGGGGTTTTACTTTCACTCTAAGAGTATTTGCATAGATCTGTCATCCCAAACACTCTGCTGATTGAACCATGGGTATGTACCATGCTGAAAAGCGTTCCTGACAGTACCATCAAAGTAATTTTAAGAAAGGCTGTATGCATCTTTCTTCAAATATCAAGAAAGGCTCCTCTAACTTGGTTTCAAAAGTCATCAAATGGACCAAAATCATCTTTTCCAAGTAGCAGACCATGTTCCATCTTACCATACATTTTCAGCCCATATATACCAATAACAATTCAGCCAGGATTTCTATTACTGATAGCACAACTACAATATACCAAAGGGTATCTTTGATACACTATGGTGTCTTCTATCAAGAGAGCCATATGAAAAACATATACATATATATCTGCATGGGTCAAAATAGACTGTGACTACCTATGGAGACAGATAAAAGGAAATAGTTCTTCGCAAAATTAAATTCTAAACTCAGTACATAAGATATGATGATGGCCATGACAACTGGACAGGAGCTTCTCCAATATCCAGAAGTACCATAAAAAAGTTATATATTCTACATTACATCAGTTCTTGAAATGCAATACTTGACAATACTTTAAAATATTACATTATTTATATAATATTTACATTAAAATATTACATTGTTTATAGTCAGTGAAGGCAACAAGGCTTTTATATTTTTTGATTTAGGCTGAAGCATCTTCATATTAGGTAACATGAAAAAATTTCCAATCAGTAAACCCTCAAACCATGATTATTTATTTATTAGATTATAGAACATTAACTCTCAAGGTGTCTCAAAAGATTTCAAAGCGGTTCATTTAATGACAGTAATGGAAGGGTTGGTCATTCTTTGGAATATTAATGTATGCATGCTGATTAAATTAATATTTTTACATTTTAAAAATATATAAATTTGGAAAAATGACTTGTTAATTACAGTAAAATCTCAATTTTTATTCAGTGAACTTTGGATACAGTGGACAAAATTTTAGCTTGGACTTCACTCCCAAATAATGGACAAAGTCTGCTGTTTCTAAAGCAGTTCAGACAACACAGTTTATGCCATTTATGATTTACATAATTATCTAATTGAGATAGTTATTTCATTTGTGTAGTTGTATGTTGACACAAATATAGTTAATTACACAATTAAGCAACTAATATGAATTATGACAAATTTATATAATTTTATCAGTTACATAAATTTGGATTTAATGAACATTCAGCTTTAGCTGGACTGGTCCCTAGTTGGTCCATTTAATCAAGGTTTTGGTATAATTTCTCATCAAAGAATTATATATTGGTGTGTGTGTGTGTCTGTGTCTGTGTGTGTGTGTGTAAATATATATATATATATATATACACACACACACACACCAATATATATGTGTACACACACACCAAATATATATTGGTATGTGTGTATGTATGTGTGTGTGTGTATATAAATAAATAAAAATAAAAAAAAGGTTCTGGTATAATTTCTTATATACCACATTAATACTTTTTAGAAAAAAACAAATTATTACCTGTAGTGATTCATATGATAATTGCTTGACAACTGAGAAGAAGCTTATCCCTGCAGGCTTTCTTCAAATACCATAAAATGCCCTAAAAACAGGAAGAATTGATGTCTGTAAGCTTATCCATAGGAAATTGAACTGGTTCCCCCAGCATCCAACAATTCTAGCTCTGGATAGGTCTGCCAAATCTGTCAATAAAAAAAATGAGGAAAAATTATACAAATCCAGATGAATGTTACAAAAATATGTTTATAAGACACACTAGATCTGACAACTCTTGTTTTTTTCTTTACTAGCTACTATTTCTAAATCCATATTTCTATTTCCTTCCTAATGAAAATATTGTTTGTTATACCACCTGGCCTCCTTTGCTCCCTTCTCCATAGAACAGAGTTGAGGTCTGGAAAACCTGTTACGAATACCACCACCATTAGAAGCCAGATTGTAGAGTACTAAAATTGGAGTCTTTTCTTATACTAAAGCCACATCCTGAATTGCCTTCCAAGAGAAACTTAGCATATTCACGTCAATGGCCTTTTCAGAAGGGCTGTTAAGGCTTTATAATTCCATACAAGCTTTGAACAAAATTGTAGCTGTTAATTTTATGATGCTCCCCACTGTTTGGTATAATACTGCAGATGACTACTTAATTATTTCAACATTTAAGTGGTATAGCAATGTCCATGGCTTAGGTCCAAAGTATTGTAAGAGGAAAGAAGAAATGCATTTGTGCTATTCCAGTGTGCAAAAGCCTCCTTCCACTAGTATAAAGAAAATATAGGCTGATATTTTTAAAACACTCTTGAGAATGAGCTTTGTGTGAAGAAACTTGTCTAATCATCTGGAACAATGGAGAAAGGATTACTTTTATTTTAAAAATATTGTTTTCTGAAATACTTCTTTAGTAAGTTAGAGAGCTGTGTTAGAAACATGCTAGAAGAAGGTCATCTTTGCATCCAATTTATTATTTGACTATTTTTAGCTGTTCTGAACATTGGACAAAGAATGGCATTTGATATGGTGAAAAATTCTAATTAAAGAATGGAAATAAAATTTCAATTAAATAAAAATAACTGTTAGTTTTTCTGTTTATTCTGTATGCTCATTCCTCTTCCTCAAATACTGTTAAGATGAATGATAGATTTAAATGGAATATTTTTAAATAGCCTAGTAAACTGCAAATCATTATTAACAAAAATAATAAATTCTACCAACTCCCCAGAAGAGAAAAATGTTCTCCAGACTGCATGTATTAATCAAAGTTTATAAAACTTTAAACCATGACAAGCTACTATATAGTAAAAATGCAAATGTACTATTTTTAAAATTCAGATATCATTGAAAACCAGTTTCTGCCATAGGCCTATTTTAGTCTAAAATTTTCAGGACTATTGCTCACATTCAAGAATTGGTTTCTGGCTGCTAATCTGAGTTCTTCAAGTAGTCCTCAGTGAATTCATATACAAATTATGAATTTGAATTATGCACAAAGCCAGTTTGGAATTTTCTAGAGCTTATAGAATTCTTGGCAAGAATCTTATCCTTCATGCATTCCAAACAAGATTAGGAACAGCTCATACAGAACCTATGATTCAATCTATGACTGAACCAAGAAGGAATGTGAAGGTTACCTGACACCAAGTGAGAAACCGGGTGAGTTTTGAGAAATCACAGATGACCACTTGAATAACTCAAGTTTACAAGTTAAATAACCAGTTCTTCACAGTTTCTGTGTTTCACACACATGGCTTATTAACGGGAAGAAGGCTTATTAACTGGCAGATATAAAGTGATGATAGAACTGCTTTACTACCACCCAGAAAACAGTGTTGAATGAAAGTTGAAGGCTGTACCCATGTACATGTATACCATGTACCTGGCATAACTCTTGTAGAAGAATTCTACAAATGTAGAAGGCAAGTGCTATTTAAAGGATAAAAGAATGGGGGAGTCTCTTCAAAGGTGTCCTGGGAAAAAGGTAAAAAGATAATAAATATGCTGTCCTAAGTTAAGAGCATTCTGGTGATAGGTTTGGAAGGAAAGTAGCATCTGGACACATAACTACTTTATACACAAAGGGAATGAGGAAAGATGGTTCTTTATGCAAGACATATAACTTCTCCACTCAACAATGCCATCTTCCTTGACAGAAAATAAATGGTGATAGTGGTAACCAATTCAAAATGGGAAAATGAGAGAAAGACCATAAACAGGGGCTGATGGAAATACTGGTGGATAAAGATGAAAAAAAGTTGGTACCATCTATCATTGGGCAGAAGAAAGAAGAAAGAAATGGCTGTGAAGTACATTTTAGTGAAGGACAGAGTCAAGCCAGAGTGTTTTATATTGTTTCAAGTCTAGAAGGAATGCCAAAACATGATGAATCTGATACTGCACAGAATTAAAAGGATGCTTTTGTGCAAAGTCCACAAAAGATGACCACTTAACTGCATAAAGCGTTCTTGTGGAAAGGGTCCAAGTGATGAGGATCTTCTCTATCTTTGTTCTGAGGAAAAGAAGGATCAAATCCAAACAACTCTGAGACAAAGGGAATTGAGACCCTGGTGGTACACCTGCTCCAGTGGAGAACAGATTGGAATGGTTCAGAATACAGAGATAGTTCCAGTGAGTGAGACCCAGCAGAGAACCAAATAATAGGTGTCAAAGCTACCACAATGTGATTACCATGTGGTTGGGCAAATCTCTGTGGACCTTTGTTAGTACTTCTGTCAAAATGCAAATCTATGCAAAAATATATAGGAAGGTAAATTCCCAAAGAACAGAAAGAACTACTGTAGAGGTTTATTGTGCTCTGAAGAGGCAGCTTATCCCAAAATGTGAAGATACTGAACTTGTGGTTGCCTCGATGGGATTTGATAAAGATATAGCTGTGGTGTGCAGTGTTAATTGTGGTGGTTAACCGAGCATAGCTGAGTTGGTCATCCAGGATACCGTCATTTTCTGATATACTTTTGCTAGGTTAAATAGGAAATGTAAGATGCCATATAGGAAACTGAGACATAAGACTGAGTGAAACTTGTGCCACTTTATTTATGTACCAGACAACTGTATCACTGCTTGATACAATCCGATCAGTTCATCCTTGGAAGAAGCTCTTGAATGATCAGAGCTCTAAGTCATGAATAGTTTCAGCCCACTGATATACTCCAATGCTTCTAGTACAGACTTGGATATGAAGAGATAAAAAATGTGTTCTGCATTCAAACATTAATATGTCACCGGTGAGGACCTGTGTCACGGATAAAGGCACAAAGGCTGTTTACTTATCTGCAAATGGTGATCAGTGGACGAACACATTGATGCAAAGTTAAACTGAGAGAACTACATCTAAACCCAATGCAAAGGTGGGCTGCAATCAAAGACAGGTAAAATGAACAAGATGTCACAGCCACCATGTGGACCAATAGCTGAAGAATAACATGGCCCTTAGTCCCACTGAGGCCAAAATCTTGCATGCTAGGCACTGTGGCAAATGTAGCAATGGAAGTAGGAGCTAGTAGCATTCATAGAAGCATCAACTGTCACCCTTATGAAGTATATAACCAGTGCATAAAAGAAGACTCCTCATAGTTGACATGAAGCCAACTTCACTTCAAAGGGGACCTATCTATCCCTCTAAAATTGAATTTTGGCCCTGAGGGAGATCTAAAGGAGATTAGGTAGTTTTGATAGATAATCCAGAAACAACTAAGGTGGCACTGGTGGAGATGGAGAAGGCCAGCCTGGAGAAGAACTCATAGTTGCTGAAGTTGCTACTGGAGAAGCTATATGGCTATTACCTGAAGGTACACATGGTTGGTGTCTTGATGGCTGATACTCAAGAGTCATGAAACTGAAGAAACTGTGTCACCTGTCAACTGGCCTTTGCTCAAAGTTTCGATGGGCTTAATTTGAATAAAAAGAACTAAGCGCTATGTTCTTCTAGTATTTATTTAAACAAGTGACACCTGTTTTAATAAATCAAATATTTGCATTTAAATAATAAACCTGTGGGACATGAATTTTGTGGCTCATCCTCACTCATGGCAAATGCTGCCCTTTAGCTGTGAAGAGTTTAGAATCACAGTACTGTAATCTTCATAAATCCTTAAGCCTCATTTATTGAAAAATGACCACCACATCTAGCTCTTATGACATTTTATAATCAATGACCAAACAGATCATTGCTAGAGGTATATGAAATTATTCCCTTATGGCCTCCATGTTTTGTCTCCAACATAAATTAAGACTAGACATGAAACAAATTCTTAAGATGCCAGTGGTATGTATTTTTATTTCTGGCATTAGATTCTTCATTCTCTTACTATACAAATGTAATTGTATATTTTTTGAAACATAGCCTGTTTCAAAGAGAAGAAACTAAGTAAAAAGTATTGCCCTCCTTCCATACACACACACCCCGGCAAACACTTATCAAATTAAATTTGTTTTTAGCACTGGAGTCGGCTCCAGAAAATTTGATCATCAATGTTACCGTAAAATAATCAGGTAAAACTAATCTTAATTCATATGCAAATATATATATGAATTAAGGTTAGCTGATATGTCAACAGTATCCATCTCCTAAATCATTAAGTTGTATATTATGTATGAATTATTACAGTAACATACCCTCCTCCCAATATTGACTTTTACCCATTTCCTGCATTTTAGTGTTTGACTACATATATTTCATTACCTCATCGAAACTGAAATCCCTGCTTAAAATATTCCTTACCTCTGCCTTCAATGAGGAGTGATTTAAAAGGACTTCCTGCCACCACTGGTAACTTAGTCCACCCTAGAGAGATGTTTATCTTTAAAGTCTACTACACTGATTTTCAGCATGCACGAAGAATAGAGTATGTACAAACTTATCCTGTACTTTTCTGTCAACGAGAAAACACTCTTGATTTTCAACAGAGATTTTCTTGGTTATAGTGATATCTCATTCCGCTTGGATGGCCGACTCCCCAGTGTTAAGGAGAACTAGGCAGCCCGTGAGCTACTGCGATACACCAAGAAAACTACAGAGCTCTCAGTCATGGCTTAGTAAAATTAACTTCTGGTTTAAGATACATGCCAGTGGAGGAGGAAAAGGAAAAAAGTATCTCTATAATCCATCAACAAGCACTATGAAAATCTTGTTCAAGTCATTCAAGAATTTCTTAATAATGAAGTATTTGCT